AAACTGTCTCATTCATATTTATTTCTCAATAAAAAAAAAAAAAAAAAGACAGGGTCTCGCTTTGTAGCCCAGGCTAGCTTCAAACTCACTGTGATCCTCCTTCCTCAATCTCCCAGGTACTGAGCAATGTGCTGTTTTGTGTAATGAATATTTGTGTATTTTGTAATTTATGAATAAATAGGGTTTTTTCTGCATTAAAGAAAAAGTGGACAAAAAAAAAAAAAAAAAGCAGACTTATAATAACCAAAGTGCAGCACAAATGAGCTAGGAAAGGAACAAAAATAATTGTAATACCCTGACAGCGTTATCAGCACCATTTGTGATGAGAAGTGGCTCTCTGTGGAGAAAAGTCAGCCCAGCAATTGCTGTAGAATGTGCATTTCTCATCTGATTGATCAATTTTTTATCTTCTAGATCCCAGAGTCCAATATGGCCACATGGGCTTCCAGCAGCCATTATTGGATGACCATCTGTTATTAAAATAAAACAGGGTAAGAAAAACATACTTACAAACAACTATACCTGATAATCCCCTCTTTTAATTTATAATAAAGTTAGAAAATACTACCAATAACTGTTCCATGTTCCTTCACCTACAGTATTTTATTAACTTCTATTAAACTACAAGAAAGTATCTGGTAAGATTTTCATGAAGTTTAAAGCATTTCAATTATTCTTAACTTTTATAGTTACCTGTGCGAAATGAAATTGAAGTAATGGGTCCCCAGTCTTGATGAAACTTCATTAGTGTTTCATCAAATTTAATGTTGTGAATGATGACCTGACCTGACATAAGACCAACGGCAACAACATCCACAGCTGGTGCCTGAAAATTAAATTACTCAGGTTTTTATTTTCTTAAGCAACAAAGCTTTAATAATCTTGATGATATGCACTATCACTTATGTATTATCAAAAGAAGCAAAACATCTTCTTAAAAGTAACAAAAAGCTTCACAACTGGGCTGGCCAAATAGCTCAGTGGCAAGATACTGAGGTTTGATCCCCAGCTCCACATGCCTTACCAGACCTGCCCTTAAGGCAGCCTGAGCCAGCCAAAAAAAAAAAAAACTCCCTCAACTTTTGGGCCGGCCAAATAGTTCAGTGGATTAAAGTGCCTATAAGCAGGCGCATGGGCTGGGGGTTTGATCCCTGGGTCAGCCATGCTGGCCCCACCCCTGGGGCAGCTGAGATTGTGATTGAGACTGGGCGTGGTAGTGCATGCCCATAATCCCAGCTCTTGGGAGGCTGTAAACAGGCAGATCACTACGATCTAATAGTGACACCCTGTAGACCCTTCCCTAAAATAAAAAAAAATTGAAAAAACAAACAAACAAACAAAAAAAACAACCCTCAAAAAGCTCCATAACTATGACTATTCTAGCATACTTTAACTGCTACTCAACAAGGACGCATTTCAGAATGACTTTTCCAATTGCTTCCCAGCTACAATTCTGCCACTCAACATCTCCCAACCTACAAATAAAGCTGACTTGGCAACAAAACAGTCACACAAAAAAGGAGGTTTATGGGGCTGGGAAGATGGCTCAGTAGAATAAGGCAAGCGCAAGGGCCTGAGTTCAATCCCTGGTTCCGCAAAAACAAAAAAAAAAAAGGAAGTTTATGTGTGAAATCATTACAGATCACTGACTGGATGAAAAATAAGAGACCAGTAACAGAAAATATATAGACTTGCTGTAAGGGGTCAATCACAAAATAAGTGAATGTTTATTCAAGGCATATAGGACAAACCTGCAAAATATGCTGAAAGTTAAAAAGGTTGCACAACTAGTTTCTTCTAGCACTAATGTTCCATGATAGTGGTGCTATAACTACCATGGTTTAACACATAGGCTCTATTATGAATTTCTCTATTTTAACAAAGATGAGTGTCCAATATAATTTGAAGACAATCAGGTAAAAAAATTTTCACTATTCTGACACCAAATGCCTATTTTATGTGAGACCCTATGTAGAAGTTAAAGACCCTAAAATCAATGATGACTCACCTTCAAAGGACAAAATCATCCTATTAAGTTCTTTTTGATAAGGCAAAAATACAGCAAGGTTGATGGCAGTGAGAGGAAATGAGGGAATGCAAATAAATCATTTAGGTGTAGGCAATGGATATTCAGAAAAAATAAGGGATAATGGCTGTATATCACCAACAGCTACATCACGTTTTCTATCGGCATTCTTTCATTCATACATATTTTACTGACTAAAAAACAAAAAAAGTTATTTCCCAAAGAGTCTACCATTGAATAAACATTAATATTTTGGGCCCAATTATTTCAAGTTCCAAATCTCAATTTCCTGACAAATTTCTCTGTATGACCTATAGTTTTAATTGCATTACTAAAGTCATGAAGTACTAAATTACATGCTTGAAAAACAATTCATAAGCAAAGTTTCACAGCTACCACAGGTGTAGGGCACAATTCTAAGCACAGAAGATTCCAAAAAATTTTGTAGGCAGAGGTATCATTCTTTGTTTTCAATTGCACTTCCCAAGTTCTATTTTCTCAGTATAATTGCTAAGTAATTAAACCAAGTTATATTTTTAGTTTGCCTTTAGCTCTAAAAATATGCTGATCCCTGAACTTAAAATACTCCACTACTTACCTTCTTCTTTAACAGAAAATTACTAACCTGCTGAAGAGCTGTAACTCCAACTTTCCATCCTGGAAATGTATACAGAAGTTTACTACAAGAAGAAAAATAGTTGATATATTTTTTTTTAAAGGGAAAACAAAAATATATATTAAAAAGTGAAGTAAGAAAAGTTGCTCCATCACATAGTATCATAAAACATGTATTAACTAATGTAATACTCAAAATTATTCCATAAGGTAAATATTACCCTTATTTTCCAGAAAATGGAACTGAGAAAGCTGAACAAAACAAGCTAATGTTACACAAGTAATAGGATCCAGACACATTCCAGATACGAGGCTACAAATTGCTACCCTATAGTACCTCTTTAAAAAAAACTGTCAGTGATATAGGCCAGAGGCACAGATCTTGCCTGCCAAGTACAAGGTCCTAAGTTTGATTCCTGACAGCAATCCCCCAAAATTATTCAAGTAGAAGAAAAATTACATGAATAAAAATACCATTTTATTTATACCATAATAAAAAAGTCTTGGACTATAGGCAGATCTCATTATTTCCTGTAATATTTTTCTAGAAACATCAATACCAAAGCAAATACAGCATATCATCCTTCAACAAAATAGTACTTGTGTGTTACATGAATGACTTTGACAATAGTGAGTTTACTGGTTCAGATTCAAATACAAATGATAAATTATAAGTGTATGGAGCAGAGATATCTACAATCAGTAAAATAATAATCAGCAATAATAGAGTACCAGGCCCTATATTAAATTTTGCAAATGGGGCCAGATTACTCAAAACTTTTACAGTGGATTAATTATAACAAAGATGAATAACCTAAATAAATAACTTTAAGTTACAGTAGATATCCCTGAGTCTGGCATACAGTACGCAGTCAATGGCATTTGTTGAAATAAGCTGAAATGAGTGATTCAACACTAGGAATTTAAATAAACATTAAAAGTTTTCTTTTTGAATTTGTAAGACTTTTGGAAAAGAAATTTGAGCAGTCAAATATTTAATGCTACATGATCTACATCAAAAACACTAGCAGATATTTATCATAGTTTATAGTTTGATAGTTTATGATGAAGGGTATTTTCCCAAAACACTATTTTTAAATGCAAACACTAAATTATTGCTTATCTGCTTTATTAGCTCTTTCCTTTTTAGTTCATCAAAAATCAGATGCTGTCCAATGACAGTCTTTTAACATTCTCTTACAACAGTCTTTTCTACAGCTATACAGATTCTTTCCAGTTAATGGGCCATTAATGAACACTTTTTAGTACTTTTAAAGCTGCCTATCATGTGCCAACACCACATGCTAGTTTTTGAATAGGTGATACCATAAGGAACAATTTTAAAACCAGCCACATTTATTGATAGGCTCCAAATAAACATAGAAGGGCAGGGAGAATTGAGACTTAAGAATGTTTCAGGAAGGATAGGTAAGGACAAGGTAAGAACTTCCAATGTTATTTTTTAAATACAGTGCTTACTTTGATTTAACATTCCACAACTGCAGGCTTCCTTGTTCACTGCCCAGAAGTATTTTATTCAAATAGGTACTTGGATGCAAAATTGTAGAAATTTTGAAAACTGATTTATCAAATGTCAACTGTAGGTATTCCTCTACAAAAGTGAAAGTTATAACAAATAATTATTTTTACAAAATAGTTTAAAATGTTTAATATACTTATATGCTTATCACTTATATGTATATCACATAAGAATGCTTGTTTCACCAGCACCTATATCAAAAATAAAAAGTGGATCATGGGGCTGGGCAGACAGCTCAATGGCATAAGCGCCTGACCGGCATGCACAAGGTCCCAAGTTTGATCCCCAGTACTGGAAAAAAAAAAAAAAAGTGTATCATGTAAGAGAATCATATGTTAATAGAAAGCAAATATTTATAACATAACCTATCAATATTCCTTAAGAAACAGATATGATGGGAAACACCTTTAAATGTAATTTACGACTGTCAAAAATTATAAAGTTCTTTTTTTTTTTTACATGTTTAGCACAGGGTCAGCAGGGTCTCACTACACAGATCAGACTCACAGTGATCCTCCTGTTTTCAGTCTCCCAAGCGCTGGGATTACAGGCACTTGCCACCACTCCCAGTCTCATTTGCCTTCTCAGTGAGCCCTGGGGGTGGGGCAGGCAAGGCACACCAGGACTGAACTCTGGTCCCTGCACCTGTCTAATCAGGCACTTTAGTCTGCTGAGCTATCTGGGTGGCCTTAAATTGCTTCACAGAAAAGAAAAATAAGGATAAAACATGACCCTTGGGATCAGCATTAATAATCTCACAATTAAGACACATGAGTGAGTGAATGCTCTGTCAAGAGCCAAGTATCTGGAAAACTTGGTGAGCCATTCGAAGCCATAAAAAGTTAAGAGCCAAATCTCAGTGTAACCACGAATGGCGCTTCTCATACATTTCCATAGAAGAATCTCTAATAGAGGACAGGAACAGAACTATGAAGTAGGGAGTGGCACAGCAAGTACAGTAATAATTTCCTAAAAAATAAAAAACTTCTTAAAACTCTTACAAAACAGCATACTGTTAACAGTAGGAAAAACGCATTCACACTCAACAGAAGCTGCTGGGTCTTACAGTATGATCTTGTACCCTTATAAAGGCAAAAACCAAACCAAACCAAACCAACCAAAAACAGAACAGTACTGGGGATTAACCCCAGACCTTGTGCATGCTAAGCAAGCACTCTACCAACGAGGTACAGCTCCAGCAGCATTCAGCCTTTTAACATTCATCTTCATAGAGAATAATTCTAGAATTCTAATCTCCCTACTTGAGAAAAACCAAAGCAAAACAAAACAAGGGGGAGGAGGGGTTCTTAATTTGAATAAAACCATAGATTGACTCCTTTAAGGATAATCTCTGGGACAGTGGTTGGAAACCTGTGGCACATGTGCCACAGCAGGCTGTTTGTATCAATGAAAGTTCTAAAAAGTTTGCCATCATTGCTCTAGGATGTTTGCTAAAAACAAACATACTATGTTGAACAAAGTGATTAATTTCAATTAAAACTATAAATAATTTACTAAAAATAAACATACATTGAACAACAGATAATAAAGCAATAATTTCAACTAAAAATGTAAACAGATTAAAGAACTTAAAAGTGCCTGCCTGGCAAGCACAACGTTAAGTTTGATCCCTGATACCTGGGGGGAAAAAAAGAACTTAAAAGATTTAATTCATGATGGACCTCCAGTATTTTAGTAAAGAAAGCTGGAGATTAGTCCTAATCTTTGAAAATACAATCTTTGTATCATTTCAAAAAGGATACATGTTTTCCTTTAGATTACAGTATCTTCAAGTTCACTATTATAATCTCCCTTTACTAGAACTTGAAAATACTCAAGATTACAACAGTATGAACATGTATCAAAATTCATTTCAAATGTTAGATGTGGTGGCCCATGCCTATACCCCAGCATTCAGGAGGCTGAGGCAGGAGGATCAAAACCAGCGTAGGCTATTTAAGAGTTCAAGGCCAAACTATACTACAAAGTGAGATCCTGTCTCAAAAAAAGACAAAAAAAATTCATTCCACAGAGAAAAAAAAAAAAAAAAATCTTGGAGAACAATAAAGGAAAATGGAAAAAAAAAATGTTCTAGTTGAGATGAACACACTACACAGGTTACATGTAACATAGAATATTTTTTCTTCCTTTTTAATGGCTTACATGTGAAACCTCTGGCATACAAATTGTATTTGCTACATCTTTTACTTTTAATTTTACATATACTATCCAAAGGAAAGAAAATAAGTTGGTTAACTCTTACCTTCTGAATATATGTGCCAAATAATAAGAATACTGTCAGTATCAACAGAGATAATGTGATCCCCAAAGGGTTGCAAAAGTTGGATTTCTGCCTTATGACCCTTAAAGGTATGTACTACCTACAAGTCAAAGTTTAAGAGAATTCCATATTATTACTCATGTACCATATAGTACTAGTTACATTATCCAGAAAGCATGCTACTCCTAAAAATGTTCATGTTAAGAAATGTAGTCTAAATAGCAAGGAGCCCAGGCATATTCTTTGCTGCCTCAGAAAGAGCAGTAATAAGGAAGTAAGGCATAGACTAATTACCACAGAGATATGTTAGTCCTTAGATTGACCTCTAAGGGTGCGGCACCCCTACTGAGGTTAGGCAAGAGGCATATACATACACATAGGTTCCTTACCCAGTTCAACCAATGTAACTCCCTGCACCAGAAAGAAATGGCATGTTCTAGAAGGCTGACCTCTACAAATTCTGTTACCAGCTAGCCTCCAGATGGATGGGAGGGGGATGTGGAGTGCTTCTCCTATATTTCTGCTTTGACACAGGATACCCTACCAGTAGTTGATTCTCCATAACTATATCCATCTTCCATGGATTCAGTTCTCATCATGCTGTAAAAACACAATTTCTTTTCCTTTATCCATTAGTGCCATGGGTGCTTAACAGTTCCCCACAGTTGACAGCCACTGAGGCTCCCCTAATCCTACTGTTCCCCTAGTCCTGACATTCTCTCAGGCTTTCCCAGAGAGCAAATTGATCAAGCAATGGCCATGACTCATCCTGTACATACAGTATACTCATGAAGTCTCTTCATATAATGCATGCGTGCAAGTGTAAGTGTATATATACATATATAGGTGAAGTCAATTTTTTCCTCCAAAAAACTGAGTAAAAATTAGGAAGAAAACCTGTTCAAGATCGTATAATTCATAATCTCCTTGAACAAAAAATTTGGGAAACCACTGAGTTACAGGATATTTCAGTAAAGGTTCTCTTATGTCCTGAGTCCTCACTGACCTTTATTGGCCAGGGCCAAAATATTGGCTATCTTTGTAGCCCTGCCTTTTCTCAAATTTTTTGGTCTACAAACTTAAGTTGTTAATTCTCCAGAAGAGAAGCTTAATGATAGTATTACCCTATAACATAGGCAGCTGAGCTTAACATCACTATCTGTCTGAATATCAAATGCCTTAGACATAACATGAAACAGGTATTTTCCAACAACTGTTGATATACTAAACTTTAAATCCCTATAAAATGTGATAAAAATAAGCAATTACACATTTTTACACAGAAATTTAGAAATCTAACCATATACAACATTGTAGCAGGACAGTCCTATGACATTTTTTTGTCTTGTTTTCTTTATTACCATTTTTTTTAAACAGACATTTACTTGAGAGAGAGAGTACAGCAATAATTGACATGAGATTAGATGCAGTATGCATTTAGAAGACCAGAATGACAGGGATTCCAAGCATAGCCCTAGTATTACATATTGCTATCCTCGGTGCAGTTATCTGTTCAAAGAGATTATAGGGCCACAGAGGAAAGTGTTTGACAATATATAGTGGGCCTAAGGAGAGTCACCTAGAGAAAACAGTCTCTCAGGCTTTCAGAGAGCAAACTGGTCAAGCAATGGCTGTGACTCATCCACATCGCTGACACTGACAAAGGATCTACAAACTGCTATACATGGTTCCAGGGTAAATCTGAGGGGATTTGACTGACCTTGTCCAATACAAAAGTTACATTTTTTTAAATGGGTCTTGCTTTATCTTGGTCTTAACCACCCAGCATAAAGGTATAAACATGAGGTACAAAAGTAAAGCCATATTAATATGCTGAGTCATAAAAGGATTAAAGTCAACAACTTCTGACTTTTCCAGTTCCGTGGATAACCCACTACTATTATGAACTACTGGACTATATTGGATTATTTTGCTGAATTCACACACCTACAATATTTGAATGACAATGGAATACCCATCCCTGACAAAACTAAACTAAAAAGGAGACTATAAAGGAAGGACCATTATGTAGTGGGGGGAAAATACATATATATATATATATATATATATGTATATACACACCTGTATATACAAAAATAGGATATATATGCAGCTATTTTCTCTTAGTTCAATGAGAAGATTTGTACTAAAGTTTAAAAAGAGGCAAAAAAAATATAAAAAATAAAAAATATCTACAAAAAAAATCATAGTTCAGTGATACAAACCTCCTTATTACGAGCAAATGCAGAGAAAACATTCCCATAAGCAGCAAAGACTAGCCTTCCATCAGCTGCCATACAGCAGATATCCTGTGGAACAGAATTACCTAGAAAAAGTGTAAAACAAGAGTTTGTAAAGACCTTGAAAGAAACAGAAATGTTATGCACTTTCATGGTCACAACATGAAAATATGGACTTTAATAATAATGAAAGCTAGAGCTTTCACTTCAATATTATACATGTGGAGGATTTGTAGATGTATACAATTTTGAAGAAACAAAAACCTTTCGGAAGTATTTGGAGATGAGCATGCAGTCTTCATGTGACTCTTTAAGAACATAAAGTTCACCAATAACTCCACATAAAATTTAAAAGTAAATCAAGACCTCGATTCACCTCTACCCTTTGGACCAACTCAAAAGAAATTTCATATGGTATTCTACATCTTGACTCTTAAAGTAATTAAAGACACATGGTTTTCACTCAGTCTTCTCCAAGGTAAATATGCCTATCATTTCTAGTCATTTCTCATAGGATATAATTTCATTTCTCTCACTAATATGACAAACTGTCCTTTTCTGTTGGAGATAGGTGGTTAGTAGTAGAGGATGGTCTTAAGTGTTTTTATACAGCATATTTCATGTTCAGATTTAGTTTCCATAATACTTTCATAGGTTTATCACTCACTTTTTTATTTTACTTACATTATAAATCTGCCTCCTAATCTTTTTAAAAATCATTTATTTGATACAGTCTTGCTATGCTGCTCATACTCTTGTAGTGATCCTCCTGTCTCAACCTCCCCAGTGCTGGTTATTACAGGCGTGTGCCACCATGCCAGGTTTCAATGGCCTGCACAGCAGGCCCAGGGTTCTGGGGCTCATGCGGTACTGGGGATTGAACATGGGTCCCTGCGCTTGCCAGGCAGTTGCTTAGACCAGCGAGCTACCTCTCCAGCTCCTGCCTTCTAATCTTTTAAGAAAAACATTAATTTATCAGACATACACAATAGATTCCTTGATTCCTTATAAATTTCCTGTACTTCTCTCAAAGCCTCATCTGTAAAGGTAAAACTAGTTACCTCTTAGCTTTGGCAAGTCCTTTATCTTACTAAATAGTACAAAAAAATAAATTTCCATCCCACTGGAAAAAAATAACCAAATATAAGACTCTCCACATGAGAAGGAATGCTAAAAACAAAAGTTACTATTTAGTAATCATCATACTAATCACTGATTCAGGAAAGAATCATCACTACATGCTAAGAGCAGCAAAAGAAACTTTGAAGGGTAACAGGATATTTATATAATCTCAATGCATCTTACAAGAGACTTATGAACTATATCAGACAATACAGCAACTATAAAATGGTGCCACTTGACAGACGTCACTTTAATGAAACTATCAAAGTTATCACTATCAGGAACAGAATAAACCAACTACTTGTGTCTCTTGATATAATTCAATGACAAGCTAGCATCATTTCTTTGTTATTCCTGCTAAAGTATACACATGTTCTGAATCTAATTATAAGGAAGCACCAGAAAAATTCAGATGAAGGACATCCTAAAAAAGAACTAGGTTGTACTTTTCCAAGTCAATACTGTGAAACTGAAATACAATCTGAAGACCCTGTCCTGGACTTTTGTTTTTGCTCTTCGGGCTTATGTTCTCCTATGTTACAATAAAAAAGTGAAGATAGTAAATACACATAAATTCAAAACAAAATTCACACTTACTTATTGCAACCAGACTAAGTTTCTGAACCTGTTTACAAAAAGAAAAAAAAGTAAGTTCTCATCAACAAAAACAGTTTAATAACATAATGCCTGAAGATTAAGGTATAAGCTCATACATAAACTGTCTCCTTTGACCTTCCAAAAAAACTCACTGACCCTAATACTCATTAGGAAAATTTATATTTTCAACAATTTTATCAAGTAGTGTTGGAAACAGTTTCTGTAAGGGGCAAAGAACAAATATTTTAGGCTATGTGGGTCAACTTGTCTTTCACAACTATTCAACCCTATCATTGTTACATGAAAGCAGATGCATAAAATAAATAAATGTACAAGTGTATTGTAATCAACTTTTATCTACAGACACTAAAATTGTATTGTTTTCATGCTGTGTAATATTGATTCTCCCAATCTTCACAAAAATATCAAAATCATTCATAACTCCTGGGTCATATAAATATAATGGGCTAGAATGGCTTGCAGATTATAATTTGCTGATTCCAGTATGTATGTATTATTCAAACTATGCAACCCTAAGGAAGTTACTCAACTTCCTTTTCTTTAAATCCCTCATCTGTAAAACAGGGATTAAAACAGCTATGTAGTTTATGTAACTATGAAAATTCAATGGGATTATAAATGTGTGTAAAATAGAATGGAACCAGTCATATCGTAAATGCTCAGGAAATGGCAGCTGCTATAACCACCACTGTCACCTCTCTACAAGTTGGCTAATTTATCTGTACAAAAACCTAATCTGTAGGAAATCTGGCTCTACACAGTACAATAGCCATGGCCATAAGGCAGAGCACTTATAGACCAAATCAGTAATTTGACCTCATCAATGTCACTTTTTCTCCCATATTATTTTCAATGTCAGACATAAAATGATTGGTTGGTATTAGTATATAGAGTCCTTAGGCAATAATTGTTTGTATGCCATGATGTCATGCTAACAGTAAATTTAAAAGTGTATCATCAATGTTAATTCCTAAAAACCATTTTTTATGTTAACTTTCAATGTAGAGGTAAGTAAATAGTGATACTTTTATATAAATATGCTACTCTCCTAACCCCTGAATTTCTTTGGAAAAAGCAAGGGCAAAATGTGTTTGTGTACAGCTGAGTATCAGAAGAGATGTCATACCAAAGATTCAAGAACTTTTTAAAGCAAAAAAATTAAGAGAAGTTATGTCTCTGGAATAAAGCTAGCAAATCCAGATGTCTGCTAGCAAGGAACAACGTGGTGAATGGTTGAACCAGCAAATACGCCCACATGAACAATGTCACTCATTCAGACTTCCAGAAATCCAATTGCTCTTCACCTCTCCCTACTCTCACTTTCCTCTCACAGTAACTCAACTGCCTCCCAACTCCCTGCTCTTCTAATAACCCATTTGACTTTGACAATTCTTCAAGGAAAACAATTCTACAGCGTGTTTCCCCCCAAAAGTGCTTAACTAACACTGGCATATTAACTTTCACTGCCAATTTTCTTTTGGAGAAAACAAAGAGACTATTTCAATAACAGGATGCTGTTAAAAGAAAAACAAAACCTATTAACATGTAGGAGGTCTTGACCAACGCCTTAATTTTTCTAAGAAATTTTATTTTTTATTTTACTTAGGAGTGCTACAAGATAACGTAACCTCTTAGAAACTGCTGCAAAGCTTGTAACGACACTGTGCCTGATACGCAAATGTGAAGCCATAAATCTTAATCTCACCCTAGTTCTCCCGGTAGATTTTGATTCAAATTTCCCAGGCAGTTTGCGTCATCAACTACCCATATAAATGGCTTGCAAGCCTTCCAGCTGCAAGGCCTTTAGAGCGAGGGAACTTGATTCCTCGTGTTTACATCTTCGGGGAAAGGCTAATACTAAGCAATTAACACAGTGCCACTAACCGCGGCGATCTGCACGGTGCAGTACTTTCCCCCTGCCCGGGCTGCCTCGGAAACCCGTCGCCAGCTGAACCATCAGCGGCGCGCACGTGGACGCCGTGACAGCGCGGAGGGCTGGGGGCGAAAGGAAAACGTCGGCAGAGGACGGGCGGCCGCGGGATTGCCCCGGGACAGCCCTGGGAAGTGGGGGAGGCTGGTTCTCGGGAAGTGGGAGAAGGAGAAACCACTCACGTCATAGGTGTGGAAGCTCTTGCCCACGCAGGTCGTTACATAGAACTGGCGCTTCAGCGCGCTGAACCGCACCACGTGTGGGATATCATTGCTAAACAGCCCCAAGGCCCGGAACCCCGCGAAGAGCGCGCTGGCCGTGCGGCCTTCCGTGCCGCGTTCCATCTCCGCCGCCGCCCCAACCCTTAGCTCCCTTCAGGTTGGAAACCGCGTTTCAGCCCTTCACTACGTCTCGGGAAAAGAAAAAAAAACTCTCCGCGAGTTAGAGATTCGCAGGCACTTCCGGTAGTCACCGCCAATCGCTTCATCGCAGACTGGCCCAAGTGCAACGTGAAAAGAGCTCCCTACGGAGCCCGCAAGAAGGCGATATTGGGTTCCGTCAGTCAAAGTATCGAACGTGTTAGTTAGTTGCGCTTTCCGCTCGGTCCTTCCTGCCGGAAGAAACTTGATAAGCGTTCTGTAAGGGACGAGAGGATATTTGATAATATTAAGAAATTATGGTTACTTTCTAGGTGTGTGGTAGTATTGTAATTGCGCTTTAAAAGAACTTTATATTCTGAAGATACATCTGAACAGACGACATGTATGACGATTTACTTTAAAATAATTGGAAATGGGAGTCTGAGTTTAGGTGAAGTAAGATTGAAGTCAGGGAATGCGTAGTGGGAGTTCATAGTACTTATGCTTTGGTAAAAAATCAAAATTATCCACAATAAATTTTTTTTTCTTTAAAAAGTTTGCTTACACTGAATCGATTGGAATGATATTGTTATTAATTTTTACCTCTGAATTATGGAAGTATGTACAAATAAGTTTGATTACTGTATGTACATTTAAAAAGGTGTTGTGAATTGTATATGAAGCAGATTTTACTTATATAATTAGAATAAATACTTTTCAATATCTAGGTAATTAGCGTATCAAATTTCTAACCAACAATTTATAGTTTGTGAAGGCATCGACAACCAATATTTTGATAGTTTCAAAATCAAACTGTAAGGGATTTACAGTAAAAATGCTGCTTTATAAATGAGGAAGCTTCTTCACTGAGGTGAAGTGATTTGCTCATAGTTTTCAAAATTGTGAGGTGGCATAATCCAGACCAACAAGACTTGGAAAAGACAGAGGGGAAGTCACTGAAGAGCGGTTGGAGGATGAGAGAAGGGTGTACTGAGCAAGCATATTTTCAAGACCAAATACTCAGCCAGCCACATGATAGTGTGGGTTACATTAAGTAAGGATCCTGAGGCTCTCGGATGCTGCCTAGCTTTTCCCAGGATCGTTAAATATTGGTGGTGTAGCCCTATGAAATTAGACCTGACAATCAGAATTATATTTTTTATTTCTGAGAAGTGAAGCTAGGCCTTTGCTTCCCCAGCACTTTTAATATTTTTGAATTTTAAGAGAGGGTCTTTTTAAGTGACTGCGTTACTCATGAGGAGCTGGAATTTGCAGACCTCTTGCCTCAGCCTCTCAGATTGCTGAGATTACAGGCCAGGCATCACTCAGAACTGTGTTCTTGTGTCAGCTGGATAGTGAATCAAAGGTTCAAGGACCCAAGACTGTAATAGAAAATCTGGAGTAGATATATATGTCAGCTGTTGAGCAGTGATGGTTTGAGGCAGAGGTGTCATAAAAGCTGATTTTGAGCATGCTTTATTTAGCAGTTGGCCAAAGTTCCTTTCTCCCCATGAGTGTTTGCTATTCAGCTGGTGGTAAAGTTCATGAGCATGCGTTAGGAAAGAGGAGAACTATGAGGTGTGATGGAAAACTACAATGAATTTTAAATTTTAAACATAGTTTGTTACAGTAAAAGAAATTGCTATTAATCCCCCTCATAGCATGCCCCTTGTTTCGCAAAAAGTTTTTAAAAAACATATCCCATTATTCTTGTCACTTGCTGAAGCAGTTCTTGGAGCCCTCTCTTGTGTCTTTACTTGTCTGCCATGTCTGCCTTAATGTCCTGAATTGTTTCAAAATGTTCTACTTTTGTAGTTATTTGGATTGAGAAAGGAGTATTAATAACAGTATATCTTCTGCTGTTTACATTTTTAAATGTAAACATTTTAATCATAATGTATAGCTATTGCTTTTTTACTTAGAGATGCATCCAAAGACACTAGTGCCAGTTTGGAATTCAAAAAATGGCAAATGCAAGGTGATGGTGAACCTCTTTTAGAGACCGATGCCCAAATCACAACTCCAAATCCACTTACTTACTTATAACGTGCCAACACTGAAATTAAACTTGAATATTGAGATTATAGTTTAGAAAACACAAGTCCTACATTAACATCTTTTATCTTAAGAGAAGAATAACACTCATGTCATAGGTTTGCCACCACTGGTCTAGGGTACTGTGGTAGAGGTTGCATATCACTGACAAATGATTATTCAATTCAATAAATTAATGCTTTACAATATTCTGGCAAATATATAGCTATGCCTTGTCATTTTAAACTATCTCCATGAAAAGATTAAATGTAACTTTTTAATTACTTTATATAATAATGGCAGTTTCTTTTCTGTTACTGAATTTGTGCCAGTTGTCCAGGTGATTCTCGGCTCCTGGTACTCCTTGGTGGAATCATTCTCACGTTGAAAGATCTTGTAGCCAGGCTGGATCATAAAACACATGGAAATTTCTCATTTTCTTTGTCCTTCTTAGGTCACCAGCTCTGAGGAAAGCTATGTTGTAAGGTTGCTCAGACTTACAGAGTGGGTCACTTGCTGAGAAACTGAGGGCCTCCTGCCAGCTGCTAGCACAACCTTACCAGGTACGTGAGTGACCTTCCCTAGAAGCAGATTCTCAGCCCTGGTCAAGCCTTCAGATGACTGCAGCTGTGGCTGATATCCTCACTGTAACTTCACCCAGGTTTTGGGCCCAGAACCACCCTAATAAGCCACTCATGAATTCTGAAGTTTCAAACTATTAATTGTGTTTTAGGACTGTAACTTTTACAGTGGTTTGTTACACAGTACTATGGAACCAGTATATTCATGCTTACATTTCTAAGCAAAATTGAAATCACATACTTTATACTCATTGTAATAAATAAGCATGTTAAAAATTCTAAGAAACTTAAAGATCTTTTTGGTCTACTTCCTCATTTTGTTGATGAATGGACTGCAATTGTTTAAATAATGGAAGAAATAGTAGTATATATCAGTTCCCCTTATTTTCCATCCAAGATGCTTACACTTTAAGGACTTGCTTTTTCTTTTTTTGGCTGTCTGCATTTTTACTCTGGTGATAATAAATACATAAGACAGTGCCTGCCACTCATTCAATAAGTAGAGTTAACATTATAGCAGGATACTGCTAACCAGTGTAGAAATAAGGGCTTTTATGAGTAAGTCATTTCTACATTTTCCACTATAAAATTGTACATTTCAATAAAACAATCATAAATTTACATAATTCAGTATGTCAGTTTTGATCTGAAGCCTGGAAAATGTAAAAAATTTTTAGCTAGCATCTGAGAAATATCATTTAGCTATTACAGCAGAGAGAAACCTCTTGAGCAATAAATCATGTTTTTCAGCTCATTATGGAAGTCCTCTTTTTTAATGTACCAGATAACACTATCTGTCCCAGTAAAAATTATAAATTACTCTTCCTCGGGATTTGACCTTCTTCTCTAACTATGCACTTAATAACTCTATGCTAATCACCGTACCAGTGCTGAAAAGTATGTTGCTATATTTGTAGAACTTTGACATGGAAATGGGTGGTAGATGCCCATCTCAAAACTCAGGAAAAAAATTTTACTCAATGAAACACTAACAAAGGAAACATTTCTAATAGCACCTGTGCTAGCACTTAGCCTGAAAGAGTATCCTCAGAGTTTTCTCTATGAGGATTCATGCAACAGTATCCAATTATACTGTTGGGTTAATTTATTTTAAAGATTGTCTGCTTTCTTTTACTTACAGTCCTACTGGAAACTCAGACCTGTGTATGCCACAGTTTACTTTTTCAAAATTTTATTGATAAACAGCAATGAGACAGGTTCAAATCAAATCCAAAGTACAGTTTCAACAAATAACACACTGCATATATTCTTCTTAGTGGTTAATTGCTATACAAGATGCGGACTTGAGATCCTATTTACA